TCCTTCTCCTCCTCATCCTCTCCCTCCCCCAGTTCCTCCTTCTCCTCCTCTTCCTCCTCCTCCTCCTCGTCCTCCTCCTCCTCCCTCTCCTCCTCCTCATCCTCCTCTTCCTCCTCCTCCTCTTCCTCCTCTTGCCTCCTGCCGATGCCAGTGGCGCACACAAGTAAAAAGCAGGGCGTCGCTGTGCGATCGACCTGGCCTGGCCGCGAGAGATGGCTTCCCAGCCACGCTCCTGCCGAGCGGGCGCCCTCGCCTACACTCCGAACTCGCCAATACCCCACACCTCCCTCTCCTGATGCCGGCCGCTGGTCTGTCTCGCCAAGGCCGGAGAGGTGGCCCACCCCTCCTCCCGAAAGGAGTTTGGGCGGGGGACGGTTTGCTTGCAAACGCGCCCGCAAGAAGGAGGGACCCCGAGGGACAACGACGGGAAGAACGACACTAGGAGGAGCCATTGGGAAGAAGAGAGAGAGAGGGAGAGAACACAAATTGGCCTGGCAAAGGACCCAACCAGATGCAGTTGTGAATACCGTCGTGGTTCGTATCGCTTTGGGTTGATCTCCTCACGGGGGCAGGAAGCGCGTGAAGGGTGTGTGCCGAAATGGGCCTCCTCCTCCTCCTCCTCCTCCTCCTCCTCCTCACCCTCCTCCTCCTCATTCTCCTCCTCCTCATCTCCCCCTCCTCTGCCGACGTCGGCGCTGCGCTCCTTCGGCGGCCCCTCGGGCGTCACGCCCTTCTGGATCCACCACGGCGCCAGCGCCAGGGCGCGCCCCGCCCGACTGGCGGATGGGTCGCTGAGGCGCCACGTGGGCTCCTCGCGGCGGCGCGCCGCAGCTTTCCTCATCCTCCTCACCCTCCTCCTCCTTCTCCTCCCCCTCCTCCCTCCTCCTCCTCCTCCTCCTCCTCCTCCTCCTCCTCCTCACCCCTCTTCCTCCTTCTCCTCCCCCTCCTCCTCCTCCTCCTCCTCCTCCTCCTCCTCTCCTCCTTCTTCTCCTCCTCCTCCTCCTCTCCTCCTCTCTTCTCCTCCTCCTCCTCCTCCTCCTCCTCCTCCTCCTCCTCCTCCTCCCCCTCCCCCTCAGGGATTCAACGTATTGAACCTACACTGGCGACGTACTGCGTAATGCGGGGCAGGAGTGCTTGGGAGATTTGACGAGAAGGAAGCGACGTGAAATCGACGCATACACTTCTGCGAGCGGCATTCGGAAGGTTCGCAGGTCCCCAATCAAGGGCAACGCGATGAGTAACTGAGTGAACCCCTGAGTCACGAAGGGAGACGCAAGGTCCAAAAGGAGACGGTGGGCAAGGGGCTTGAACGGTCGGCGGGACAGCAACAACATGGCATGGCCTCCCAAGGACGGCGAGGCCCCGCTCAAGTCCGCGCGGTGCCTCACCCCGCTGGACCCAGCAGCAACCTTCGAAAGTGGCGAGCCCACCAGCAGCCCTCAAACGTGGCGACAATATCGCAGATCGCAGCCCCGCATGGACGGCAAACTAACGCTCAGATCCGCGCTGTGCCTCACTCCGCTGGACCCACCAGCAGCCCTCGAAAGTGGCGACCATTTCGCAGATCGCAGCCACCCAGGGGCGGCGAACTACCGCTCAGATCCGCGCGGTGCCTCACTTCGCTGGACCCACGAGCCGCCCTCGGAAAGGCGACAATTTCGCAGATCGCAACCCCCTCAAGACGGCGAACTACCGCTCAGACCCGCGCGGTGCCTCACCCCGCTGGATCCACCAACAACCCTCGAAAATGGCGACCATTTCGCAGATCGCAGCCCCCAAAGACGGCGAACTACCGCTCAAATCAGCGCGGTGCCTCACTCCGCTGGACCCACCAGCAGCCCTCTAAACAAATGACAATTTCGCAGATCGCAGCCCCCCAGGGACGGCGAACTACCGCTCAGATCCGCGCGGTGCCTCACTCCGCTGGACCCACCAGCAACCCTCGACAATGGCGACCATTTCGCAGATCGCAGCCCCCAAACGACGGCGAACTACCGCTCAGATCTGCGCGGTGCCTCACTCCGCTGGACCCACCAGCAGCCCTCGAACATGGCGACAATTTCGCAAATCGCAGCCCCCCAAGGACGGCGAACTACCGCTCAGATCCGCGCGGGGCCTCACCCCGCTGGACCCACCAGCAGCCCTCGAAACAAATGACAATTTCGAAGATCGCAGCCCCCCAGGGACGGCAAGCTACCGCTCAGACCCGCGCGGTGCCTCACTCCGCTGGACCCACGAGCAGCCCTCGAAAGTGGCGACAAAATAACAGATCGCAACCCCCCAAAGACGGCGAGCTACCGCTCAGATCCGCGCGGTGCCCCACTCCGCTGGACCCACCAGCAGCCCTCGAAAGTGGCTACAAGTTCGCTGATCGCAGCCCCCCAAGGACGGCGAACTACCGCTCAAATCAGCGCGGTGCCTCACCCCGCTGGACCCACCAGCAGCCCTCTAAACAAATGACAATTTCGCAGATCGCAGCCCCCCAGGGACGGCGAACTACCGCTCAGATCCGCGCGGTGCCTCACTCCGCTGGACCCACCAGCAACCCTCGACAATGGCGACCATTTCGCAGATCGCAGCCCCCAAACGACGGCGAACTACCGCTCAGATCTGCGCGGTGCCTCACTCCGCTGGACCCACCAGCAGCCCTCGAACATGGCGACAATTTCGCAAATCGCAGCCCCCCAAGGACGGCGAACTACCGCTCAGATCCGCGCGGGGCCTCACCCCGCTGGACCCACCAGCAGCCCTCGAAACAAATGACAATTTCGAAGATCGCAGCCCCCCAAGGACGGCAAGCTACCGCTCAGACCCGCGCGGTGCCTCACCCCGCTGGACCCACCAGCAGCCCTCGAAAGTGGCGACAAGTTAACAGATCGCAACCCCCCAAGGACGGCGATCTACCGCTCAGATCCGCGCGGTGCCCCACTCCGCTGGACCCACCAGCAGCCCTCGAAAGTGGCTACAATTTCGCAGATCGCAGCCCCCCCAAGGACGGCGAGATACCGCTCAAATGCGCGCGGGGCCTCACTCCGCTGGGCACAATCCACGAACGTGGCGACAATTTCGCGGATCGCAACCCCCCAAAAACGGCGAACTACCGCTCAGACCCGCGCGGTGCCTCACTCTGCTGGACCCACCAGCAACCCTCGAAACAAGGCGACCATGTCGCAGATCGCAGCCCCCCAAAGACGGCAGACTACCGCACAGATCCGCGCGGTGCCTCACTCCGCTGGACCCACCAGCAGCCCTCGAAACAAATGACAATTTCGCAGATCACAGCCCCCCAAAGACGGCGAGCTACCACACAGATCCGCGCGGTGCCTCACCCCGCTGGACCCACCAGCAGCCCTCGAAAAGGCAACAATTTCGCAGATCGCAGCCCCCCAGGGACGGCGAGCTACCGCTCAGATCCGCGCGGCCCCTCACTCCGCTGGACACACGACTAGCCCTCGAACGCGGCGACAACGTTGCAGATCGCAGCCCCCCAAGCACGGCGAACTACCGCTCAGATCCGCGCGGGGCCTCACTCCGCTGGACCAACGAGCAGCCCTCGAAAGTGGCGAGCCCACCAGCAGCCCTCGAACGTGTCGACACTTTCGCAGATCGCAGCCCCCCAAGGACGGCGAGCTACCGCTCAGATCCACGCGGTGCCTCACTCCGCTGGACCCACCGTCGTCGTCGCCATCGTCGGCGTCGTCGTCGTCGTGCCCGTCGTCGTCGTCGTCGCCGTCGTCGACTTCGTCGTTGTCATCGTCGCCGTCGTCGTCGTCGTGCTCGTCTTCGTCGTCGTCGTCGCCATCGCCATCGTCGCTGTCGTCGTCGTTGCCGTCTTTGTCGTCGTCGCCGTCAACGCCGTCGTCGTCGTCGTTGTCGTCGTCGTGGTCGCCGTCGGCGTCGTCGTCGTCGTCCTTCCCTGTTGTTTACGTCGCCGTCGTCGTCGTCGTGCTGTTCGTCGTCGTCGTCGTCGTCGTCGCCGTCATTGTCGTCGTCGTCGATGTCGTCGCCGTCATGGTCGCCGTCGGCGTCGTCGTCGCCGTCGTCCTTCCCCGTTCCCTGTTGTTTACGTCGCCGTCGTCGTCGTCGCCGTCGTCGTCATCTTTGAGCAGGGACCGACCGTCCCGGCATTCGTCGAGGCCTACCACGAAATATTCTCTGAAAACAAATACAAATTGTCCTACAAAACAATGTTCTTAGAACATAAACCCGACGTGTTAAAGCAGAAAAATCTCGGCCAGTAAAGTTCCAAGAACAGATTGCGAAGACCACAAATGGTTCTTGGAATACTCTTTGGTGGGCCTATAGGCAAGCTGGGACGCTTCGCGACTGCTTGATCATCGTCGTCGTCGTCGTCGTCGCCACTGTTGTCGTCGTCGTCGCCGTCGTCGTCGCCGTCGTCGTCGTCGTCGCAATCGTCGTCGTGGTCGTCGTCGCCGTCGTCGTCGTCGTCATCGTCGTCGTCGTCGTCGTTCTCGTCGTCGTCGTCGTGGTCGCCGTCGCCGCCGACGCCGCCTGCGCCGGCGCCGGCAACGGCCCTGGGGGGGGTTAGAACCCCCCCCGCGTGAATCTAGGGGGGGTGGGCCGGTTCCAAACCCTTTCCCCTCCACGCGCCAACAAAACTCGCACTTTCAGGTATACACTCACTGCGATCCGCAGTTGCAACCCCATATGATACATTCGATTAGGAAATGGGCATGGCGTAAAGGATACGGACTATATCAGGACAGGGCTGAGAACAACTATGAATCAACGTGTTCAGCACCTGCGCCCATACCGAGGATGGAAATTGCGCCCCTGCTGGTAGCTAGGCTCATCGTGTTCACAAGGATGGGCGTGGAACAGGCTATTGGGGCTCTGCCCACTCACGCTGAACTCGTGTGCTCGCTCGATCGCATGTGCACGATCCATCGCTTCCGTGGATAAGCGCCCTAAAAAATGGATGCCGAGCAGAACGTCACTCCTGGTACACCCTGCGAAATGCTTAAGAAATCATGGGTTAAGAAATTCATAGTCTCAGAACTTGAACAAAAACCCTAGATTTCTATCAAGATCTTAAGATTTACATTGAAACGTTAAGAATAATCGAGACTCTGGCCGAAAACTTAAGTTTTCTTAAGCATCGCCTGAGGTGTACGACGACGGCAGTCGATCCTCGGCACTCGAGGGCCATTGCGATCTCGTGGCCCTCGGTGACCGAAGTTTTCCTGTTGTTGGGGCGTGGGTCTGCACAGCTGGCGGGAAGTCCAGAACTGGCTACATTGTCACGTGTCGCTGAGGCACAAGCATCTAGGGCTCCCAACTTCGCGCTTCGCGCTCCGCGAAGCGCGAAGCGCGAATAACTTCGCGCCCTCGCGCCGCCCCCCCAAAGGGAGAAAAGGAGGACGAGGAGGAGGGGGGAGAAGGAACGAGGACCGCGAAGCGCGAAGCGCGAATAACTTCGCGCCCTCGTGGGAGCCCTTGAAGCATGGGATCTGCTCGTGTGGGCTAACGCGCCAGTTTCACGCGCGCTCGAACACGACTTGTCATGGAGCCGAACGTACAACGCGTCAAAACGGCCGTGTCTGGATGATCGGGTCCTTGGCTTGGAAGCCCACATATTGGCATCTGAAATCGCGTCGTAGGTTGGCACTCGCAGCAGTCATGGGTCATCCTCGAACAATCTTGCAACTCTCTTCGGGTTCACTTGGGCCTCCGAAGCCATCTTGTTGACCCACTTTCGCAACACATGGGAATTCCAGAACAAGCAGGAGCGGGAAGGGAGACGGAAGGAGGGAGGATGAGGGAGGAATGTGGAGAGATGAGAAGGCAACA